CCCCCCCCCCGGCGCTCCAGACTCGGCCCCCGCCCTCCTCGGACCTCCCCCTCCCGCCCGCCCTCGGGATCGACTAGATCCCTCCCCCTCCCCGAGGATTCCGGCTGGATCCCTGCCTCTGCACCGCGGATCCTGCGCTCCCAGGCCCGGGCCCCTGGGGATTGCCGTGGACTCCTCTTCCAGCACCCGATCCCTTAGAATCCTCCTCCTGGACCGCCTTCTGGTCTTCCGAAGCCGGCCCATAGAGCCAGTGGATCCTCAATCCAGTCCTGTCCCGTTGCCCCCTCCTTGCCCCACCGTCCCCACTGCGGGGTTCTCTGTTCTCAGGCTCCCCCTGACCCCATCTCCTAGCTTTCCTTTTCCCGGGGATCGACTGGATCCCGGCCCCGCCCCCCGGGGCTGGGGTGATTCTCCTCCCCCTTGCGGGCGGGGGCTGGGCCTGCGGGGCCGCGGGGGCTCAGAGGCCGCCGCCCCCCTTCTGAAGCCTGTCCGCCCCCCCGCTTGGAGCCCTGGATGGAGGCACCACGGCCCCAGGGCTGAGCCAGGTAGGAGCTAAGCCGGGCCGGGTGGAGGGGGCTGCGTGGCGGTCCGCTGGGGTCTCCCTCTCCCCATCTCCCTCCCTGCGCCTGGTTTCCCCCAGCCTGCTCTGTGTGCGTGTCTCCGCCTAGGGATGCTCTCGCCGTGTCTCTGCGTCTTGGTCTCTTTGTCTCTGCCTCTCTCCGGCCCATGAATGATCCTTTGAATGGGCCCACAGACCCCGTGTGTTCCCATCTCCCCCTCCCCCTCCTCCTCCCCTTCCCGGCCAAGCCATTTTCCCCACTGCAGGAAGAGGGGGGGGCCTGCGGCCTGAGCCCCCATCCCTCACTCTCCCCGGCTGGGGGAGTCAGGCCTGGGCAGGAATGGGGAGAGCAAGGCAGAGGGATGGGGAGAAGGAGGGGGAGCAAGATGTGGCAGACAGAGATGGGAGAGAAAATGGGGGAGACAGAGATAGCGAAAGACAGGAGGGAGAGAGAGAGGGCTTGAGGAAGAAATCTGGGGAAGGTATTTGGAGGAGAGAGAGAAAGATGAGAAACACCCAGGAGAGAGCCATGGGAGAGAAATGAAGAAAGACCGAGGGCGAGAGACTGAAGGCAGGAGCTGGAGCAAGCAGGAAGAGGCCGAGGAAAGATGCTCTGAGGGAGCGCTATGGAGAGAGAGCTGGAGGGGAGGGCTCCAGGGGGAGGGAAGAAGGGAGAGAAGCTGGCCGGCAGGGAGGAGGCCAGGGGCCCAAAGTACCCTAAGGAGAGGGGGTGACAAAGGCTGACCATGTTGTGGGAGGGGGAGGGGGCAGCAAGGCCCTGGTAGCCAAGCCCAGCCTGGCATAGGAAAGGAGATCCTGGGGGAGTCAGCCGCCAGCCCCTTCCAGGTGATGGGGAACGAACAGAAGCTTAAGAGGGCTTGAGGAGAGGGAGGGCATGGCTGGGTGTGTGTGGTTAGGATTCCTGTGTCCTCATCTCTGGAATAAATTGACACCTGCAGAGAGCCACCCGCGGGCTGGCGCCTGGCTCCGAAAACCCCGCGTCAGCAAACAGCTCTGGCGGCGGGTGGGGGGGCGGG